TCCAGAATCGCTTCGGGAAGTGGCAAGGTTGATGAGAAAGTGAGTGTGAAGCAAGGAAGAGTCGTTTAGACTGGGGGGTGGTTAATGGCGATCTGTCTTTTACTACAATGAATTTTTAAAATGTAGACATTTGCCGTATATTTTGATCATACCTCTGCCACAAGGTAGACAGCAACCTAATGATGCTCAGTCCCTGGCGGGAGGTGGGACGGGCATACTATTTCTCTCTTATCTTTGAACTAGAGAAACTGTTGCGGTAGGACCTGGACTAGATTTCTTCCAGCCGGAAGAACAGGACCGGGAGAAATGTCAGCCTCAAAGCAGCAGATTTTAAAATATTTTATCTTCTTTGTAAAAATACTTGAAAATCAGAGACCATTTTTGTTTTGCTTTAAAAGCTGTACTGGATTCAATTATAACTCCTCCCCTCAAGTCAGCTACAGTTCATAAACTGAGGCGCGCACTTGGCTCTGGATGAAGGCTGAGAGGAAGTCCCCTGACGGATGGGGACAGCGCAGCGCCCCCCCACTCATTTCCCCCACTTAGTGCAAAAGAAGCCGGGCGCCCAGGGGCCTTCATCTGCAGTTAGACCGGCTGCACGGCTGCTCTTCTTGCTAATTCTCCCTGTGCGGCGCCTAAGATCGAGAAAAGAGAAAGAAAGCACCGGCCTAAGTTCACATGCTCTGAAATGACGACGTTTCAACAATAAGAGGAAAGCAAAAGGGAAGGAAGAATCCCCCTCTGCCAAGGATTTAGGAGGGGCTTGCCTTTTCTTCCTACATGGAAAGAGGGCAGCGCTGCTTCCTGAAATAAGAAATGGGGACGTTCTCCACATCGTTGGGTTGAAAAATAAGCATTGCAGAGTCTCTTAGGCATCGCCCTGGGGACCCGCGGGCTGCTGCTCTGCACCTGTCTGAGCCGAGGAAGCTGGGCTGCAGGACTTGGAGTCTCTGGAGCTCCCACCACGCCTCCCCTGGAACCAAAGCGCCCGCGCAAGCGACGCTGAAGGGAGAGTGCTGCTTCGGAAGGTGCTTGATAAACTAAAACCACCCAGTGGGTATTCGGCGTTTCGGTGTTCCCGGAGGGGAGGGGTAGAGAGAGAGTGAGTGCTTGTGTGTGAGTGTGCGTGTGAGTGTGTGTTTGCGCGCGCGCGGGTGTCTCTCCAAGCAGCTCCGCGTGGCTCCGAGCCCGGGTCCACGTGGAACCGGAGCACAGACCCAGCTGCCTGCTCCCGGCCCGCAGATCCTCCCTCTCGCCCCGGACCCACGCAGGTCCCTCTGCGCCGAGGCACAGCGGGCGCCGGGCTTACCTTGACTGAGCGCTAAGAGCAGCCACACAGGCGGAAGCCCCGCCCGTCCTGGACGCATCTTGGGTCTGCTCGGAGGACCCGAGGTACTCTGAGTTTGCAGAGAACGCGCTGGGTCGAAAGAGACGACGGCCCGCGGACCCCTGAAGCTGTCGGAGCGCTCCCTCCCTGCCTAGTGAGAGCTGGGAAAAGTTGCTGGCAGCTCCTGTAGCGCTGGGCCCGCCCCTCCCGCAGAGGAAAAAAAATCAGATTTGCCTGCCACGCCCCGCGGAGCCCAGCCCTGCAGCCCGCGGCTGCGCCTCCGCTGCTGCCCACCCCCAGCAGCACCTGGCTGCCCCGCTCCGCCCAGCCCCGGCTTCCTGCGGGCGCGCAGGACGCGGGTGGGGACCGCCCGACGGGCTGGGTCACTTCCCGAGTCCCCAGAGAGATGCAGCCCCAGCCCAGCCCTCTGTAGTGCCCGGCCTTAGAGTGGGGGTGGGGTGGGGTAGGGGTGGGAGGTCCAAACCGCTGTGCATCCATTTCTCTGCCTACCCCGAGTGGGCGGAGAAGGGAACAAAAATAAATCCAGAATGACCAGGTTAGAAACTAACTCATGGGGACGATCTGCTCTCAGGTTATGATTATCCCAGGTGCTATTTAAGCAAGGCCTGCTGCAAAAGCACTGTGAAGGGGTTGTGTGGGGGGGGCGGTGGAGAGAAAGAGAAAGAGATAGAGATGAGAGAGAGAGAGAGAGAGAGAGAGAGAGAGAGAGAGAGAGAGTCATCATTCATTCCTCCTCCAGAGCAAAAAGAGCTTAATTAATTACTAAATTTCAGTGATTTATTTCAAACAAGTGGAAAGGGCGAGAACCCGTCGGAGAACTCATGACTCTTCGTCGTAGTCTGTCTTACAATGTGACCATTTTCTTCTCTTCTTTCAGCCTGTTTCTGAAAGAGAATATACTGTAAGTATATCCGAGATAGTTGACCTACAAGCCTAACAAATAGAAATTCACCTTTCACTTTTTTTCTAATCTGATTTTTCCTCTAAAACTTCACCCAAAATTTTCCAGCACGTTGCTGAAAACAGCGTTCTTCCAGTGACCACTTTGAGGGAAGTAATCACATTTCTCATACATGAAAGAGTTACTTATGTAAGCATGATTATTAGCACCAGCCGGCATCTTTACAGACCACTGCTACCAGCAGGATGGGGTGCCTGGGAAACTGTCACTAGAGCACCTGGTTCCAGGTGAGAGCAACTTAGTTAATTGGTGAAAACTAAACACTTTTTTAAAAAAAAAAGTTTAACCTTATGCGGGCCTGAAGTCTTGAAGTCTTAAAGTATTAAGCTGACGTCTATCAGCTATTACTGCTTATAGTCATTCGATACCCTTGAATCCAAAATACATAGCCCCAGGTCTTTCCTGTTTTCCTATATATCACTTACTAACTCTTTTTAGAAACTCTGACAACACTTGAAGGTATTTTTCCAGATCTGTCTGTGGTGCCTGCTTGCTTCCTAAAACCCCCGATGCACCTGAGAGGTCTTAGGTGGCCGCTCACTAACCCTGACACATAACCTCAGCCCAGCTCAGACTCCTTGAGGGAAGTGAGCCAGGTCTCAAAGAGATGAATATCTGTCTGTTTTCATCTGACTCACTGAAACGTGAGTAAGTGTTTGGAACAGACCCTTGTTTGGGAGACAGAATAGTTCCTTAATGTGCTTTGTCTCTGGGTGCTGGACAGAAAAATGAACCTTTTTTTGCATTCGTTCTCAAAATCGGACAGATTAACATTACGCAACCAGCAGGTACGTAATAGATCAGGAGCTATATTGTTTAGGAGCAAGCCAAAATGTTAGGGAAAAAGGAGCAAACTGTCACCTCACATGAATTTTGAGACCATAAAGGATTCTGGAGACAAAACAGCTTGACATCTCCTGCCTCATTCCTCGCGGGAGCTCCACCTAGGAACTAGGAGTATTGTGCGGGACCCGACACTGTGAGTGGGAAATAAGCAAAGTGAAGCCAAGGTTTCTCAGCTCTGGCCTCAGAATCCTGTACATCCCTCAGACTATTTAAGAACTTTCGTGCTGTGGAATATTTCTATTGATGTTTACCAGTGAGAAATTTAAATAGATCATTTTCCAGATGCTTATAACTAATGCTTACATAATAATAAGCCTATTACATGTTAACATATCAGACATTTTATGAAAAACAATTACATTCCTAAAATAAAGCAAGCCTAGGCTAGGGATATAGCTCAGTGGCACAAGCACCTGCCTGGCAAGCACAAGGTCCTGAGTTCGATTCCTGGTGCAAAAATAAATAAATAAATAAATAAAACAAGCCATGAAAAAAGTGGAGATCTTCTATGTTTTCGTCAACTTTTTCTAATACCTGTTTTTAAAAATACGCAATTTGATTCCCATACCTGCTTCTGGTAATCTGGCTCTTTTGATATGTGGTTTTTGTTGAACTGTGGATTATTAATATGGTCACACTTAAGTAGGTGGGTAGAAAAATGAGAGATAATGTTTGGGTAATCCTCTGATACTACACTAAAACTCAACAAGTGGTAGTTTCTTAAAGTCTAGCTGAATTATGAAATCTGAAACCATATCAATATTTTTCCTACTTTATAGCATTAAAGTTTTCGGTCTACTGACCTTGCCCCCCCCCCCGCCATGCCTAAAGGTGACTAATGTCTGTCATTTTTTTCTTGCTAACAAGTAAGAAATTAAAGACGATGAAAAGTGGATATAATGCCTCAGTGTTACTAGGAAAATAACTTTGATAACCCTGAGCACTTGTGCAGTCTTGTGACACCAGAGAGCATACTCTGAAAACACTTAGGAAGGGAAGTAGGTCCTTGTCTCTTCTTTCTCTTAGCTCTAGGCAAGAGCTTTTGGCGCAGCAGGTTCAGATGACCTTTTCCCAGCATGCTCTTCTGATCTCTGTTATCTTCATGGCCTGCTCTTTTTGCTTAGTTCCCTCCCACGTATACAACTACCTAAACCAGAAGTCTTTCCTTTCCTCCCTAGGCCCAACGCTGGCCCTTCCTGTTTCCACAGCAACTGTCTTTATCCTTTACCATGGTCATCTGTGCACTATTTTCTGTTCTCTTCTGATCATTCACCATGATGACATCTCATACACAATCTATCTCCAGTTTATCCTTTATACTTGTGGTTACAACTTTCTTTCTAAAATATACACTTGATCTCCTGAAAATCTTTGTATATATCTGTATGATAAATTGGGCACTTAAGGTCCCAGTTGAGCCCTGACCCATATTCTACTTCCATATTCTAGTTCACTATTTTTCTCTACACAAAACTATATTTAGGCCAAATTCACCTATTCACTCATCTACCTCTCTGATATTCCTGCTAATTTCATAGATATGTTTCCACCTATGACTTTCTCACTTAAATGCTGGATCTCTGAAATCCTTTTTGTTCATATCGCAAGAGTCTATTCTATCCCTAGGAATAGTAAATTCCTAGTAAATAGTTACTGCATTAAAATGAATTTCTTAACAGTTCCTAGAGCCGAAAAGGGCTGTGAATGTGAAATCCTAGCCAAGTCCCAGAAAATTTGAAATGAAGTACCAGTGACTCCTCAAATGGTACTATGTTACAGACTGAGGTTGGGAATCCTTTGAACTTGACTCACCCCCAGTTCTCCAGAAACTGAGTCATGTGTAATGTCTCAAAACAAACAAAAAAAGACACTTCTAATTTAAAAGCAAACAAAATGGAAAGACAAAAGTAAAACAGTTCTAGGCTTCCCACCTTGATCTATCAATACACCTACAGATTTTTTAATACTTCTAGCTCTACTCAGTTGACTGTTCTTATTTACTTTTTGTTTCATAGCAGATATTCCATTAATCTGCCTGCTCTGCCCATGGGGCTGTCTCTCTCCCCTCTAGAAGTCATTGAGGAGCAAACAACCCTGCCATGTAGCCACTGAGGCAGATATGTGATCCAGGCTGGCTTCGATTCTTTCTTCCAGGTATTTATATTCAGGATTTAGGGGTTCTAGAGATTTTGGACCACATGAACTAGGAATTTGTATTCCCTTTAGAAAAAACCATTTTATTTAATAAATACAAAAAATGTTATTCAGATAAAAGAGAGATTAGACAGACCAAGAAACAAGGCTGGTGATGAGGGAGGAATTGCTTTAGTTCTTTGTCCTCTATTTTCTGTGTTCAGTCATTTGGAAGGCCTAGCTGCCCTTCCTGCCTTTAATTTCATGAAATATCCCTATGCCCTCCTATCTTCTCTTTCTCTCTTAGGATTTGAGCAAGTTTCCCTTCCTTGTACTAGACTATCTTTAAGATGAATATCTCAGTTTCTTCTGGGAACCCCTTAAGGACAATGTATGTCTCATTAACTTCTAAAATTCATAGTTTCTCAGATAGGGACCAACACCAAGTTGATGCCCAATCAGTGTTCATTACTAATGTGTCTAATGTCCTACTTTAGTATTAACCAGAGAAAAGAATTTTATCTCTTACAATGTGGAAAACTTTAATAAAGGGAAAACTGTTCCTATGCTATTTGGACTTAAAAAAAAAAAAAAAAAGAAATGTGTATTATGAGGGATCACCACTGCTTATGGCTGTTATTCTTCTGTCTCTGGAAAATTTGGATATTTTTGTTAAACATCAGTTACTTTTCTTTTTTTTTATTTTTTTCATTTTAAAGAGTAAAACAAGAATAACATAATAATGGGGGGACTTAGCATATTACAGACAAAATGGTAGGAACTTATCAATGGTTATCGTTTTACATATTATTATCTACAAAATAGTTTC